CCCCAAAACCCCAAAACCCCTAAAGCTCAAAATATCGTAATTTGAAGTAAACTTAAATAAATATTTCGATTTTTCAATCCTATAAATTCATTATTTTCTCAAAAGCATCTAAGCTGAAACATTTTTGTTATGAGCAATAACTTCATCACATTGTTTCAAATTCGTTTCGATTTTAGCATAGTATAGTATATCTAACTACTTCATCATTGGATCCGTTTCTCTGTATTTCTCCAGAATTTTAATTGATTTTAGCAGATATTCTTTACCTTCTTCAAGCTTTTGCTTCTTTAAAAGGAATCCTCCAATGCTCTTATACAGTCCGAATTCCTCTGCTACTTAATCACAATGAATGAGACATCTCTTGTAGATATCGATCATTCTTTCATCCTCTGTGACTTCATAAACCACTCCTAAATCTCTAAGAATTTTATACAAAAGCAAGTCTTTTAGATATCTATCTCCATTCTCTATTATATTCAAAAGGTCTAAGAAAATCTGCTCTGCCTTGCTCAGTTATTAACTTTTCACAAGAATCTATCCAAATAGTTATTAAAGTTATATTAATGCTGGATCTTAAGGTTTCATTACTGCCTTTGCCAATTCAACACTATTTAGGCAAATATTTAGAGCTTCAGGGACTTTACCAACTTAACAAAGCAATTTCAAATAAGGTAGCAAAGTGTCTAATGTTTCTTAGTGTTAAGGTCCTAATTTGTTTAATTTGATATCATAAGCAAGCTACATATATCTGAGTGCTTCAACCATATTCTACTCCTTAATTTTGATTCTGCTTAAATTTTGATAAATATAAGCAACATCCAAATTGTCTTCAACTTAGAGTTTCCTCTTGATAGCCAAAGATCTAAGACACATTTCTTCAGCTTTCGCTTGATCATTTAGATGTAAGTATAAACCACCTAAATTGTTAAAAATGACCACACAATGAATGTTATCTGCTTCATAAAGAAACTCATAGATAGACTTGGCTTTCTCATAGTAAAATATAGCCTTTGAAGATTTTAGCTTATTAAATAGATCGGCAAATTATCTGTATGTTTCTGCAGTCTTAACATTCCTTTCACCGAATATAGTCTGACAAATTTCAAGTGCTTAGTTGAAAAATGTTGTGGCCTTGTCAAGTTCCTCAAGCTGAAGATAAATGTTCCCAATAGCTTGCAGGCATTCAAGATTAATTGGTTCATAGACGCCGTATTCTTTTAATAGAAGTTCATTAGCTTACTGATAATACTTCAAAGATTTTTGGTAATCCTTCATCCTGCTAAACATTTCTCCTAATTTCATAAATGAGTGTATCTAACTCTCTTAAGAGCTATTCATTTTTTCTATCATCATACTATACTTTTAATATATAGGTAATGCAGAACTTATATCACCTCTAGACATGTAAAACTAACCCTCTAATTGCAAAACTCTCATTGAAAAACTCTCATACAAAGAGGTATTTTTATTAAACTCTTAAAATAATTTTAGAGTTTCGATCTCTCCTTCTTTAATATTTCCAAGGTTGAGTAAAATACTGGCATAATTAATCTAATTTTCAAATTATAACTGCTAGATTGTGTAAATAGAATCTTTATCCTGGTTATTTTTCAAGTATTCAATAGACTTTTCTTAAATTACTTTGATGTGCTCTATTGCCTACAAGTAATCTCCTTAGAAGATCTTAAATTCGCACATAATTTAATTAAGTCTAAGGTAGAATAAGCTCATTTGAATTTTTTCATTTTCAAATTGCAATTTATCGTATTAATTTCTGAGTATTCTGCCAATTTCATAAGCTGCCTCGTACTTTTTCTCGTTTTTAAGAATAGTTATAAGCTCTTGCAAAAATATAGAGGAACCCATAAGATATATGTCTAGCTTACTGTTGGCTTCCTTTATGTCAATAGATCTTTACAATGCCAATTCTACCCCAATTTTCCCGAAAAAGTTAACGAATTGTTCATCCTCTTAATTCAATTAATCTTTTTAAACCAGGAATCGAATCAATTCAGAATAAAAAGTAAGTCCAAGAGCATAATAGTCATTGAGCTTTAGCTACTAAATGCTCCATTTAGTCCTGTAAAATTTACTCATATCTCCCTCAAATTGACATTTATTAAATCTATCTCTGATCTCTGGAATGCACCATTATGGTGATAAGCCTCTTAATTTATACTTTATTTATTACTTACTAGTAAGAATGCTTACTCCAAAATCCCCAATTTTTACTTTTTAATTTCTCATAACTAGCAAATTCTAAGGTTTAAAATCAGAGTAAATAATTCCTAGGTCATGCAAATATTCTATTGCTTTAGCAGCCTGGTAAAAGTAATAGTAGAATTTATAGACAGAAAACCTTTCAAGATTTTTACTAGCTTCCTTCTTTTTAAACCATAAGCCAGTTTTTTCAACAACACTATTATCAGAGGCTTTAAATGAATAGAGATCATATAAAGAATATCTTGCCCTCTCCACTATAACCAAATATCTCATGAGTTACTTCCTTTCAAGGTCAATTTCTATTATTTCTTCTTTGACTTCCACAAGATAATCTTCATGATAGATACTTTTGATGAGCTATGATTCAGTAATTAAGTCGACAAAACCCTCTATCACAGCCTCTCCTTATTCAAAGCTGCTCATTCTAGCAGAATTCTTTATCTTAGGCACTTTTATTACAACTTCATCGTAACCAATGTAATTTAGCTTATATACTATAGCTTCTCCCCCTTCAGCCAGTTTCTAAATATTTTCAATGTGCTTAAAATGTTAAGACATCTTCAACATATCAATTATTTCTTCTGTTGTTTCAAGCTTATTTTCTAGTCTCTATTAAGTTTAGGATCCAAATATCAAAGTCTAATTCTTGGCTATTTTATCAACGCAATCATCTCCAAAGTAATTATACATTTTCTGATTTACTATGACACTCTTTCCATTACTTTTTATTAGAAATACACCACCGTCTAACTTCAGATGATCACTTCCAGCACTTTTGCTTTTTTCTATCTAAAGTACTGGCTTTATTTCACTTCCTGTACTTCCATCTTTCTTCGCAATGTCACTGTTCACCTTAGTTTTTTATGTTTTCGGATCTAAACCTTATTTCTTAGGAGGAACATTCGCCTATTTAATTTATTAAGCAGGTTTTTTAGTGTTGAGGCATAAGCTTTATATAGGAATTTATTGCTTAATCTGAGAAGATACATTCACTTTTTGGTTTATCGGCTTATCTTTAGTTTATTGTTTATTTAGAGGTAAAACCTTTTGTTCTTCCTTTGCAGTATTATATACAGTAGTTAAAGTCATATCATGATCACTTGTATCAGAATATGTAATTGTAACATGCTCTTTATTGAGTAGTTCTTCAAAGTTTGTTTCCTTAAATTCATCCTCATTCAACTTTGAGAATGCTTGATAGATTATAGTGGCATCATCATCTTCGTTTTCATTCATAATTGGTGTCTGAATCTATTTTTATATATTGCCTAATGGAAATGGTCAAAGATAAAACTGGAAAATAGTTACTAGGAGCAACAGTCTTAAATGTAGATTTGTAAGAGTCCATATATAAATACTTATGCTATTTAATTCCTTATAATTTATTTGTTTTTATGATTTCCAATAAATCTACAGTTAAGCTTACACATGGGGTTTTGGGGTTTTGGGGTTTTGGGG